AATTTGAGAAGTTTGGCTTCTTTTGTTAAATGGAACAAAGGGTTTGTGGGAGAAAATATTTATATTTCTCATGTTAAAGTATTGGAAAAAGAATTGTTTTGGTTTCAGTACTGAAATGAGGGGAGCAAGAGAAGAAAAAAGTCATAAAAATAAAGATCCCTAGTCAGGACTCAAAGGGGGATTAGCCAGGGTAAGTAAAGTAGTAAAGAGAGAAATGAATGTGTGTAAAATGCACTTCATTATTTATTTTTTTAAGGAGAGCAGATAGACCATCACTCTTCAATATATTTCTTTAGATTTCTCATACAGTATAAACAGGCAGGAAAGAAAGATAAGTATGACAGTACATAGCACAAGTCCGTTTGAAACCATTTGCAGTGGCAGTGTTTCATTGATTTTAATGGGGCAGTATGATGTGAAAACATGACAGGAGACACAGGGGAGATAACCCAAGCAGCACTGCTATACGCTATTCCCAGCTGTGTGTGTTAATCCACTCAGCGATCATGCCGCCAAAAGTTTTCCCAGTGTTTTTCATCATCGGCGGAGGGAGAAAAAAAAAACACGCTTGTTCCTCTCTAAGCTCTATGAGACAAGGAAGACAGAGTTACGCTGAGAGATGGAAATAGATCATGAAATACAGAAACTGAGATGATTTCCCAGTCACACAGCCACTTACAGCGAGGAGGAACACTCAAATGAAAAAGTCAAACAGATTGAAGTGGAATGGATGGTGAACAGTGATAGCATAATTCACAGTATATAGACATCTAAGGCCAGCGCCGGAGTTGTTCAGATTTGGTGGGTAAAGTGGTGATATCCTTTATTTTCCCAGAAGATATCTAGTTAACTGGCAAGAAGCTATGCATGTTTTTAATGAAGTGGAGATACCACCCACATTCACCCCCAACAAATCAACCCCTGGGACTACAGTAGGAGTTGTGCTTGCATTTCTGAAGTGCATTTCTGAAGTGCCTGACAAAAGTTATGGTAGAAAGTGTTTTCAACTGTTCCATAAACTGTGATACTACAACACCAACCTCTAGTGTAAGACGCTGTGTTATGTTACGGCATGATATTGTGTATGTGTGTGTGTGTGTGTTTGTGTGTGTGTGTGTTGCTGAGAGTAGATCCACCCTGCAGGCTGAATGAATGAAACATGCATGTCCAGTCTGCCCCTCTTGAAACACACAAACACAGAAACTACACATGTATAGCAACACCTAGTGGCCTTAATTTGCTGTTACATTGTCACTATAGACAGGGAGAGCGGCCCTTTTAAATGGTCATGTCACTGTGTGTGTATGTGTGTGTGTGTGTGTGTGTGTGTGTGTGAGTGAGTGTGACGTACTTGTGTGTTTTAGATGAAGTACTATTAAGATATTGGTGTTAGGCTGCTGCCTTTTTTTTCTGCAGTGCAATGTAGATAATTAGGACTCTATTTAGAGAAAGGGCCAGCCCAGGAAATACACAGGAGATCCTCACCTCATTAAAAATCAATTATCATAACTCACGTGCCAGCGCAACACAGCCCTCATGGCCACAATCTGCTACACATACGTGCACGTGTGGCAAGCAACTCTCAATGTATTGCTGTGCACATACAATCGACAATCTCTATCTTTGTCTTGTTCTTTGTAAAATTCATCTCTAGTGGGTTCTCTCCATCTTTTTCTCTCTCAAGAGATTGCGCGGGCCTGATCCTCCTCTTAGCTGAGGAATCGCCAGCACTGCAGTCCCGCTCTTACATAATAACCTCAGGATAACACTCGTGCTGGCGCTGGCCGAGGACGCTGTCAGTCACTGGGCTCAGGGTGGGTCAACATAGGTAGGAAAGAAGGCCCTCCCAGCCCAGCAAAAGCATGTAGCTAGGAGCAAAATAATCTCAGAAAAATGAGTTTTGTTTGGAAATGGATGCCTGTCAAGAGAGGTTAGGGGAATAGTTGCATTAGATTCCTTTCTCTGCAGTTATACTCTGTTTTACAAATTCACTTTCACTACAGCTTTGAAGCTGTAGCTGAAGTTTGCTTCTGTAATGTAAAACCATGAAGTCAAATACCCAAGATTTATTATCATACTCGCTAACTTTAAAAACAATGAGAACACAGCCTCCTCTAAACACCAAACAGATAACACGTCTTAATTCTGCTGTAATCCACCATTGCAACTAAAGTGTAACAAGGCAGCAAGCATGCATTGTTGACTGGATGTGGAAGTGGGAGTCCTTTGGTAAACAAATCACAAAGCCTCTGCTGCTGAGACAGGGCGACAGGACGAACAGTGATGATACACCAAGTTGGCGCCACACACTGATGACATCACTTCCTTAAAGAGTGTAACAGCCTAGCACATCATCGCTGTGACAGCCAGACTAGTGCAGCGAGTGGGTGGTCACCCTGGCAACAGCAATGCTGTCATGACCATCTCCCAATATCCTACCTGACAGTCCCCGCTGGCAGTGAGCACAACACACACTCAACAATGCACACACCCACACACACACACACATTCACAAACAGTTTGTCAAACACACGTAGACATGTACACACACTTTATCTTTCTTTGTGTCGTTTTTATAATTGAAACGCTCACTCAAACCCTCTCTGAAACACACACTAAAACAATGCACATGCCCACACATCCATGCTCCTTTGGGCATAATTATGTGATACAAGGAGGAGTACAATCTCCCATGGGGTAAAAAGAAATACAGTGTGCAAGATATAATGTAATCACTGGAGAGAGACAGTAAACACACACACTCCTGTAAGATGGAAAAATGTAAAGAGCTTCTTCTAAAAATCAGTATGTATATCCATATCACAGCAGCAGCAGGTGCGGGCTGAACACATTCAGCTTGTCTAAACCACAGAGATTCACGTGTTTTATGATTAACAAAACAAAGAGTTTGACTAAAAGTAAAATGATGTCTTCTGTTTACTGCTCAAATGTGGTCGGTTGACAACAGCCATGTCCGGGGTGCAACTGACCTGTTTTACAGACTATAAATAGGGTGTTACAGGCCACTTTCATTGACAGCTCTGTGTATGTGTAGTCTGTGTGCTGTCCCAGTCCAGTGCTCCGCTCTGACCCAGTTTGGAGCCAGTTGGCCAGGAATTGGTGGAAATGGGTCACGTCTTGAGCTGCACCAAAACTCACAGCATGAGCCAAGCTACCTTAAGCACACAGTCAAACAGCGCGTCGCTCTGTCCATAGGTCATTCATTCACCGAATCTACTGCAAAGGGACACAATGATCTATTGTTGGGTTTGAGGTAATTTAGGGGCCCGTTCACATCTTGAATGACAATCTATAAAGATAACTATAACAACATATAATGCAATAGGCACAAAGGACGGTGCATAGTCCAGGGTCATGGCAGACTGGAGGTCAGTTTTTAGTTTGTACACATTGTTATGCTGCCTAATGGCCACTGGAAGGCACATAGGCAAGTGAATGAATGAAAGAAGACTACAAGTTGTGGCTCGTTCTGTAAATGTTCCATCTCCATCTCCATATCCCCACTTCTTTTAACTAGTGTTGTCCAACTGCTGCAGGGTGTTCAGTACAAGAATGCAGTACAAAGTAGGGATTCAGCTGGCACTGGCAGACCAGTTGAGTATATGTGTTTATTAAGGCAGGGATTTAATGATGCTTTTTGTTGTGAAGTGGTCAAACTCTCTGAGGTTCAAGTAGACCGTATAGACAGCAGTGACTGTCTATTCCTGCTCAGTCGCTTAGACAGACAGAACTGTCTCCATTGATCCTCATTTGAGATTATCCAATTATGTATACTGCACACTCATTCCACCAGACATTTAGCATACACACATATTTGCAGACACTATATGTCTGTACAGAATATATCAACACACACTGAAATCCACATTAATAACCAGATACAACTCTTACAGGTGCAGTTCAGTATGCACACACACCCTGAAGATGCACTCAGACATGCACACAAGGACAGAAACATACACAAACACAACATTCTTTGCAAATACACATCGAGTCCAGCTAGACTGTGTATGCTTTGTATTGTTCTTAAGGGGAATCAATTAGGCAATTCATGCAAACACAGAATATAAAACTGAAAACCTTTTATTTTCTGTTGATTACTTCTCAGAAACTTCATAAAATTTCCTACAGGTGGGACTATGCAAGGGGATTACATGTGAATGGCTATTTCAGCTGTGGTTAAGCCAGTGCTCAGCAGAGGAGGGAACCAGCTCATTGGGAAATAATGTAGGATTAGATAGGCTGTCTAATCTCTTTATAGAGGGTGTGCCATCTCAGCAGACATACCTGCCTACATCTACATCCACCTCATATCTCTTAACAGGAGCGGCGGCTTTCTTTTTCCATATATTATGTATAATAAGCTCAAAGATACCGGTGACAGGTGCCTCTGTGCGTTACATTGAAAGACTTTCTGTGCCTTTGATTGTGACTGTACATGGATCTGCCTATACACAGTGAGTAAAATTTCAACACGAATGAAAAGTTCAATTTGAAGATGGAGAAAAAGCTAAATACTGAAGAAGTTACAGTTGTAGAACTCATCATGTGTGTGTGTGAGAGAGAGAGAGAGAATAAGAGGGTTGAAGAGCAGAGGGTGTGGTTCTAACCTGCAGGGGTCTCTCTTTCAACCCCTAAGAACGCACATGGAAAATGAATGCTATCCAGTCTTTTATGTGCGCGAGTCCTTGTCATGTCCCGGTCATTATAAAAAACTCCTACAGGGATAAACAGAATGTCCAGATGTCACTGTGCCCTTGTGAAGTTGAAGTCACACACATACACATTCACACATTGTAACCTCAGTCAGGTCCTACAGCCAACCAGGTTAACCTCTAAATTAGACCACCAACTGAGGTCTAAAAAAATCTGTGAGGTGTCTGAATCAGGTGTTGTTCTGAAAACTGGGAGATAAAAGTCTATGTCCTGTTCAAAATGTGTTTTGTAACATCTTTTCTGTCCTCTCTATTTGCTTGCAGCCCAAATCGAAGTTATACCTTGCAAAATCTGCGGAGACAAATCATCAGGTATCCACTATGGAGTCATTACGTGTGAGGGATGTAAGGTGAGACTTAACCCGTTGTTTTGTTTGTTAGAGCTCAAATGTTATGCACATTGTGCGTATACGTGTACCTGTAAGTCTGTAGTCATTCTCTTTATTGACATGTAACCAGGGTTTCTTCAGACGGAGTCAGCAAAACAATGCATCCTACTCCTGCCCCCGTCAGAGGAACTGCCTCATCGACAGAACAAACCGTAACCGCTGCCAACACTGCCGCCTGCAGAAATGTCTCGCCCTAGGAATGTCCAGAGATGGTGAGGCCCACTATATCAGTATCACTATTTATGACTGTACACACAACTATATGCATAATGCTCTTAGGATAACTGTTTTTTTGTTTGTTTCTTACTGATTTATACTACTAAGAAGCTGAAAGGTTGTGACAGTTTGTTTTTTCATTGTTAATTTTATGTCCCTCTGTTGTTTTGTCTCCCCGTACAGCGGTAAAATTCGGCCGCATGTCCAAGAAGCAACGTGACAGCCTGTATGCAGAGGTCCAGAAGCACCAGGCACGACTGCAGGAGCAGCGGCAGCAGCAGACAGGCGAAGCAGAAGCTCTGGCACGTGTTTACTCTTCCAGCCTAACCAACGGACTGTCCACCCTTAACCATGAGATTGGGGGCACCTATGCCAATGGCCACGTAATTGAGCTGCCCAAGGGTGGCCATGGTAACGGAGTTGGAGTCCCAGGGGGTTATTATGGGATGGACTCCACCCAGCCGTCTCCAGACCAGTCAGGTTTGGACATGTCGGGCATGAAGCATATTAAGCAAGAGCCAGTGTACGACCTGACGCCAGTACCCAACCTGTTCAGCTACGGAGGCTACCAGGACAGTCAGCTGGGACACAATAATGTCAGCATGGGAGAGCTGGGTAAACACTGCATAATATTTTTGCACTGTTTGTAAGACAGACACACTAGAATGGTTCATCAAAAAAAAATCATGTGGAAAAATTAACGGTTCCCCACAAAGTAGTCCTGTTAGAGAGCGTGAGTCAGAGTGCTAATCTGAGAGCAGAACAGACAGGCTTACACAGCTAGCTGACAAGGTGTCATATTACTGTATGTGCAGCTCAGGCACAAGTTGAGATTAAGTTCAAATTAAGGATTTAACATAAATCCAAGGGCTGTAAATTAAGCAGTAAATGGGTAGCAATGAAAAAATGCCTCTCCCTCTACATGTTCAACATTAAGGGATCACAGTACCTACGTGATAATGTGCAGAATACCTATACATATATATGGAGCCCTGCTTGCTATACCTATATACATACCATCAATGAACGAAATAATGAATAAATAAGCCAATCCTGTCTTCCAGACCGTATTGCTCAGAATATCATCAAGTCCCACTTGGAGACATGTCAGTACACAACAGAAGAGCTGCAGCAGCTAGCCTGGCAGACACACTCCTATGAAGAGGTCAAGATGTACCAGAGCAAGGTGAAGTTTTAATGTTACTTTAATCTTCAGCCACTCCTGCTATACTAGAAGTACAAGGTACTTCATTGTTCACCTCTGTGTACAACGGATTAGTGAGCATTCAAGACAAGATTGTTAGTTATCTACGGACATGAATATAACTACATTAGTACAGAACATGTAACCCTAAACTGGGTGTGTTTGGTTCTAGCCCCGGGACGTGCTGTGGCAGCAGTGTGCCATCCAGATCACCCATGCAATCCAGTACGTGGTGGAGTTCGCCAAGCGCATCTCAGGGTTTATGGAACTGTGTCAGAATGACCAGATCCTCCTGCTCAAGTCAGGTGAGTTGACTCGACTGACAATGGCTGGCCAGGGATATCTGTTTGTGTTGTTACAGCTCAGACAATGTAGCTCAGGGAAGAAAAAGTCCTGTGCCTCCTTATTCTTTTTGCCTTTAGTCAGTATATCTACTGAGCTTCAAAATCATTAACTATCCGTCTCCATGGTTCTTCCAGGTTGTTTGGAGGTAGTCTTGGTGCGGATGTGCAGGGCGTTCAACCCTCTCAACAACACGGTGCTCTTTGAAGGGAAGTATGGTGGCATGCAGATGTTCAAAGCTCTAGGTAAGACAAGGACTGGAAGAAAAAGGGGATAGTGCAAAAATAAAGAAACATGACCAGAATAAGTAATAAAAAATCTCTTTTTGTCTGCCCTTCTCTCTCCTGTGTTTCCCTCCAAGGTTGTGATGACTTAGTGAGTGCAGTGTTTGACTTTGCCAAGAGTTTGTGTTCACTGCAGCTGACAGAGGAGGAGATCGCTCTGTTCTCAGCAGCTGTACTAATTTCCACAGGTCAGTGCACATTCCCTAATATTATTAGAATATAGGAAGCAACCTGCATGGACATCAGTGCCTGCACTGAATCAAGGCACTTAGTAGCAAGCAAAACAACTGCTCTGCTTACATGTGTCAGTCAGTATCAAGCAGAATAATCACAGTCGAAGTGATTAAATCCATGTGTTTCTACCGTTTCCACACTCTGAACCGTATCAATTTATGACCCGCTCTCCAATCAGCACACGTCAACTCCAAACTATTAGCATTAAAAAAATTTACACTTTCCTTTTTTTCTTCTCAGATCGGCCGTGGCTGATGGAGCCTCGGAAAGTCCAGAAGCTCCAAGAGAAGATCTACTTTGCTCTGCAGCACATTATGCAGAAGAACCACATGGACGAAGATGCATTGGCTAAGGTAGGCAAAGCCTTTGTAGTAAGATAAGTCAAATCAAGGTAGCCCCCGAGGCACGGTCCTAAGGCATACGCAGAGAACAGTTTCTCTGACCTCAAAGCACAAAACACAGGAAGCTTGATTAAAAAAAAACCTCACTTCTAACATTGTCCCTGTTTGTAGTTCGTCAGTCTAAATCCCCTTTTCCCGGTTTCTCTCTTGTCTGGCAGCTGATCAGCCGAATCCCAACATTGTCAGCCCTGTGCACGCTCCATACCGAGGAGCTCCAGACCTTCCAGCAGCTCCACCCAGAAACAGTCAACGTCCTCTTCCCTCCACTCTACAAAGAACTCTTCAACCCTGACCCCAACTCTGCCATGGCCATGCCCAAGTGACTGACTGTGGGCCCAATGGAACAAACGGAGTCAGCGGAGGACCAAGAAAATAAGAAAGCTACGTCCAACAAGATGACAGAGGCTGTGTCGACTATGTCATCATCGTGGCATTCACAAATTCCTGTGCTCCCCCAGCCTCATTTTAAGCTGGGGGGTGAGGAGTCATCTGCCAGAAACTTACAGTTACCGCCAACAATACTAGGAATGTCCAGCACTTATTCCATCCTGTTCACCGATACAGTCTGAAGAATGTATATATAAATGAAACGCGCCCCAAGCCACAACCTATGTGGGGCTTCCTCCTGTCTCCTGAACTGAACTGACAGACCAGAAATGTACAGACTTTAAAAAACATCTAGGAACATTTTTAAGGTGTTAATCTATAAAAAGAAATTGGGTAAGTTAATTTGTTTTAACTTAAAAAAAAAAAAAACTTTTTTGTTTGATTTTTTTTTGTTCACCTGAAGAAATTGTGAAGAAGCTGGACGGGGGAGGGAACTTAGAGAAGCTATTGTAGATATTCTTCTAGTGCAGAGCGGATTCCAGTATTACTTCTTGTTCTGTTAAAATAAGTTAGTCCTAATTTAAATATACAGTACAGCAGTCCACTGTGGCGGACTATACCTTGTCTATGTTTTTTTTTTATTTGATAGTTTCTTGTGTACAGAATTTGTAAAGTTGAGACTTGTAAAAGAATATTGGGTAAAAACGGGAGTCGATTTTGGGTTTTGTTGATATATAGAAGCCTTGTCTGGATTTTGTTCATATGTAAAGAAGGTATTGCATCCTTCTGATGAGAACTTATAGTAATGTAAAGAGAGCATATGAAGGATTTAAAAAGAAAATAATGGCTACTACTTTTCAAGGTGAAGATATATACATAAATATTCTATTTTGCAAGTAAAAGAATCTGGCAGATTTGCCGTCCTATCAATCATTTTTTTCTCGCTGCAATAATTATGTCCAACAAAAGTTGGGCTGCTTTCGAACAATCAACCAGAAACAATCAATCAGAAGCTAGGACCTCACAATAAACGCGGCCTCTTCCCAAACCCCCTCCCCCTGCCCCTTACTTCCTATGTATTAGAGCCTTGACATTAGATTTCAGCAGACAGAAGGGGTAAGAAATCACAATGAAGAAGTGAATAAAAATTCCCCCAAACATAAAAAAAAATGTACTCACAACTTGCCAATCTTCATAAAACTGTGTGAGTGCTGTATGCCCTCATCCCTCCCATCACTATTTGCACAATCCAGTTAGTGGACGTCAATCACTCGAGGCTGTGAATATGAAGGACCCTTTTCTCTAAAGAGCAATAACTTTCTCACTGCCTTTCTGATCTTACTCCTCCCCTTTTCTCCTATTACCATGTTCAGCTGTTCAAAACAGGGTAGCAGTTTTAACTAGAATGCACTATATTGTACTCTCGATCATTAGTTATCTGTAACAATCGTCACCTTCGTCTGGATGGCACTCATTCCACCACAGACTCTGCAGTGTTTTTAATGTGACACAACATGATCTTGAGTTAGGACATAACACAGAGCACTGACCGAAAGATGTGAAGAAATGCAGACTAGCTTCTTTTACATCTTTTAAAGCTACAATATTGCATTGACAAATCCAACAGGAAGCTGTAATAGACAATCATGTTTGTGCTTTTTTGTTCAGTCATCCCATAATAATTATCATTTGTCTGTTTTGTTGCTTTTCTACATTAATGTTATGCTGTTTAGCGTTTGGCTACTGCGCTTTTATACCATCTGAGCACAGTTGTTAGTCATCACTGTTTTTTGTGGTGAAGGAACAATTTGACAAATCATTGAGGATGCACATGTTTTTTTTTCACAGTTCTGCATTTAGCCCCTTGATGTAAAGACATGATATGATGACAAATCTCCAACTGAAGAGCTTCCTTTAAAATGAGCTATTTACCAAAATAAGTGACCCACTACACAATAGCAGCACAAAATTAATCAGCCGATGGTACATTTTGATATAAGATTGCACTTAAGACTTTTACCTCGGCTTTAATTATTATGATTTGAGGTTATTTATGCACTAAACATGGAAGTCTGCGTTAGGTTGTCTGTTGTTTGCAAATGTTCATTGCACAGTGGCCAAATATTCAACTTGCTAAAAGCACGGACACAGTCAGAGTAGTTGTGCATTCATTCACATTAAAAACACCATTGAACCATTTTCACCCTTCATACACATATGTTTTCGCCACATGTTGAACAAAACAATGTCGACAGCATGATCATTAATGTTAAACATTAGTGATCTGCTCACATGCATCTGTTCCACATTGTGTCCCCAGATCAGAGGCCAGTGACTCTGAAGACAATCACTTGCTCATTAAGGCTCGATGCACTACACGGCATCTCTCAGGGAGCAGCTCTTTTTCTGACTTTGCATTAAAAGAGGGTTTAATATTTTTGCAAATTTACAAACATTTAATTATGAAAGAATAACTTTTTAGGATAAAAATGGCATACGCCACCAACGTATGCTGGCAATGGAATCTGCCCAGACAAGGCTTTGATAAGTGTGTGTATGTGTGTATGTGCGTATAGAGCATGAATTCACTGTCCAAATCTCTTTATAGCCCAGACTATATGACAAGCATTGTTACAAAGCACATGAAGAAAAACTAAAAATATATATATAGTGTATGTCAGTGTGCTCTTGTCACCAATGTACACTCATGTTTACTGCTTATTTTGCTGCTTTCCGGACAGTGGAGGAAGTCCACTAGTAAGCTGTGAATCAAGCGCCATCGCAACGCCCCTGGGACAGTGAATTCCAACTCTGAATATGAAGTTTTTCTCTGTGATGTTTTTATTTTCCCTTGTTAGACTGTGAATCAGAAGGGTGGGATGGGGTAATGAGAGGGGATGTGCTGGCAAGAACGAGTGGCAACGCAACACTGTAAGTAAGATACTGTAGCAATAAGAACTGGAGGCATTTACTACTGTCATGTTTGCAATGTAAGATTATTTTTTATTTTATTACTATTTACTATTATTATTGTTCTTATTATGACTACTATTCTTCTATTACTATTAGCCTATTGTTGTTCTGTTCTATTTGCATGACGTTTCATTGCAATGAAACATTTGGGGCTTATTTGTGTTTTCTCTTCTCATGATGGTGTGAGTTTCGTGGGAGGTGTTATTGGCAGGGTGGGCGGTGGGTTTAGGGCAAATTCCACGTCAATTCAGTCAGTTCAAAGCAACTTTTTTTTCACAAGCTGAAAGAATTTTTAAATAAAATGCTCTTATTTATACACAACCACTTTAAAATTTGTTCTTCGATTTGAAATGATTTTTTTTTCTCAACCTTTGAATGTGTGAGTTGGTATAACCGGTCAGTGAACGGGCCTTTCTGAACTGGCCTTATTGAACCGGATCAGAGACCCTTAACCTGCGGCGGGAGGGAACAAGGTGGGGAGGTTAATCTATTCTGAATGTTATGGAGTATCTTGTTCAGTGTGAGGGGCTGAACACATCATGCGCCTTTACCACGCCATCAACACAGACCGACATCGCAGAGCGCACAATAATACCAGTCGTCGTTCCACGTGACGGCTGGGAACAATTTTTAATACATTTCCTACACTTAGTCAAATACACTCCACCCCAAACCTCCTCCTCCCTTCCCTGAGAAAACCTGTGTGTGTGTGCGTGTGTGTGTGTGTGTAAGGGAGAGAATGAGACGTTTGCTCTACCAATGCTTTGTAAACTTTCTTGATGCATTACACGTGCGTGCAATTGGAGTAGTGTTGAAAATTGTTAATTTATTGTTTAGAATGTCTTTGCATCCCAGCAAGAGCAAATAAAACAAAATGTAGCAATCTGTAACTGAAACCTAAAAGGTGTTCGGGCTACAGAACTTCTTTTACACAGGACTAAAAAAAATCAATAAACTTTTTTGTTTGTTTGTTTTCAAAGTGCCATAGCTAGTAAGGGAGGAGTGATTGGCAGAGTGCGGCGTAGATGCTTTACTGTGTGTGTTTACTTAAGAAACCAATCAAAAAAGGGGAACTCCAAGGAAACTGTGTATCTGATTACACTGACGACCCGTTTTTACATTTTATGCTTTTTTCCATTTGGCGAGACTGGACTCTGCCAGACTCTGAACACTGACTTTACTATAAACTCATAAGCTCTGCTGTATATTTTTTATTTTCATGTGAGAATGAAAGAGTGTATGTGCGTGTGTGCATGCATTCATTTGCATTAAAAAGAGCCACAAACGCCCAAATTTGATGGATCAGATCGGGTTGAAGTTCAAAGCTATGCAGGGCCCTTACTGAGTCCTTCTTTGAGATGTATATACAATGTGAAGGTCTGAAGTGATTTTTGTTAAATTCTATATTTTATCGCTTTTGTAGACATTTTGTTGTGGGAAGAAAAAAAAATAAAAGAAATTTTATGGGTGCATTTCTGCCTCGTTTTTCTGTCTCACACTTACACATAGTTAGATTTTCAAATTTTATTTTAGCCAAACATGAAACAATTTTATCCTTGCGACATTAACCCATAATGTATATGTGTATGTTAATTAACAGTAATTTTCACTGTCTCAATATCAAAATATTTAAAGATAAAGTGCAAAAAATAGTCATTTAGACTTTTGTGAAGTCTTGAAAAAGAAATATGTTACTACTGCATTTCCTCTTATGATTTATGAGATACAGCTTAATGATATAAACCCTTTTTTATAAAAAATAATCTGCAACACTCCTTTCCTCCTGACAGTATTTACTTAATATACTGAAAGAATATATTAGCATCCTTTGTTCAAATTATAGTAATTAAATCTCTAGTGTCCAGTCAAAGACTCTTCTATATTCCGGTTTCCACTGCAAAGCAATCAGGGATGTTGCAGGACACCAAGAGAGTATTTTGTGAGAACATGAGTGTTAGGGCAGAAGTGTCTCAGTACATGTGTTTCCCCTACTTCCTGGGTGAAAGGTTATATGCTAGTTTCATCGTCCTCCTGTTCTTCTTCCCCCGATGTAAACTCTTTTTCGCTGCTGTTCTCGTAGCTGTCTGGATACATCCTTAAATCTGAACAACAGAAACATCAGTTAGCAATATGTCGCTCCAATAAGACAGTCATTACCACAAGAAAGAGAATACTGACAGGCCTGGGAGGAAGTCCATGCATCCTGCATGAATTATTTGGTTTGATTTGTTGAAGAAATTTTGGAGAGGACACAAGAAGAGGAAGAGGAAACACAACGCACCTTTGAAATATCAAAACAACTGTGTCTGAATGTTTGTGTTTGTGTATTTGTTTGCTGGGCTTGTTTGTTTTTGAGCACAGTTTCTTTCCGAGCAGCTATCCTCTAGATGCCAGTATCGTGCCTACCCAGAGACGTTAATTAATAGCTAATCAAAGCTAATGTCTCAGCAGCACATCGCCAGCACAAAGACATGATTAATACGTAATCAAAGGCCGTGGAGCACAACGCACAAAGCAGGGCCCACCCCCATGCCTCAAACACTACTGTTGTTATAGAAATAAACGAACACTCGCGGCTTAATTAGCTGGCTGTTGGTGTGTGTTGTCTTCATTTGAAGTTGTTGGGGAATAATCTCAGAGCCAACGTTGGCCTCCTGAGTGACGACACAGAGGTGACATTCGAATACATTATGCACATACACGCACCAGAAAAAAAACAATGATGACAAAAAACCCTAAGCAATGCAAATCACATATTGGTTTAGACAAAAAAACGTATTATTCAAGTAACGTTAACGTCTCTCTCTCTCATACACACACACAGCAATACTGACCTGCTAGGCCCAGTCTGTGGCAGCAGGACCCACAAGAGTGTTTTTGCAGGAAACCGCTGATGGCAGCATCTCCAAGGTTATCAGGACCAAAAAGCATCTCACCCCTGTTACTGCTGCAAAAGGGTGAAAAAAACGCTGTTTTACTAACATATAGTTGAGACCATTTGGAGTTCTGAAATCAGAGTGGAAAAATGGCTGAAACTGGGTTTAATTAATAACTTTGATGTGTGGCTAATTAGTGTACCTTTGATCGTCTGCCATAATGACCGTTGGATCGGTCAGAGCCTCTCCTACTCCTGTCAAGAAAAACACAGAAAAGAAAGAAAGACAGATAGGTAGATACAAACTCAACAACTCACATGTGTGTAAAGGAATCTACCTTGTATATCGAGCACCAGAAGCTCTCTTCCTGAGTACTCATATGTCCAGTGGGAGAATGCTAGTAGCATTTCTTCTAGAGAACAGCAGGGGGAGATCTCTTCTCCCGTGTTGTTGTTGTACTTCCTGAAGTCACCAGACATGTTGCTCTCGATAGTCAGCCACTGGCCATTCGAATGCCAGAGGACCAGCGATACATCTAAAAACCTGTTGAAGAGAAAAAGACAATTAATACACGCAAAGTCACACACAGATGCATATACCAGTGAAAACACTGGTAACACTCACATACGCACCTTGGCGAGTGGTGCATATCATCAGGTTTGACTTGGTTGAACACTTGCATCATCTTCTGGGCAGCTCTCTGCTGCTGGATTTCCTTTAGGGAAGCCAAAGAGAAGTTGATCATAAAGTTAAAACTATAGAAAGCTTTTATTGTAAATATGGAATAAAATATGTAATGTATGTGCACTTCACATTTGGTACACTTACCCTTAAACAAAGTTGCAGTGCCGTGCTGCCATGGAAGTACCTCTGCCAGGCACGAACCACCTCTGGTTTGAAGGCTTTGACAATATATACAAGACCAGGTCTGAGCACGTCCCGTTCTGCCCAAGTACAGAGCACCCTGCTGCCACGCCGGAGACCCCCATCCAGAGAGCCCTCTTCACTGGAAAGTGGCTGCAGCATGGCAGAAAGGCCTCGTGACGACCAGGAGGAGACCGTGCCAGATTCAGTGTCAGAGGTCACTTCCTCCAAAGAGTAGATGCTCACCTCTTCACCTCCTGCAGAATTAAGATGTCAGTGTGAAGAGCATGGAAAGAGATGGAGAGAAATACAAGAGATACATTTTGCAAAGTAAAACAACAGTAATAAACATACAATAAGGTGACTGTGACACCAAACACAAAAGTTACCCATAATGGAAACAGGAGTGAAGGGAATGGTGTGAGCCAGTCTCATCAGATTGTTTCTCTCCATAGCTGTTAACACACGAATGCAACATGGTCACAATTACACAGGAGGTAAAATATAAGTAAAAAAACAGGTGCACAATGGACAATTCCAGGCAGAAAAATCTCTAGAGCACCACAAAAATGTTGATAGCCACAACTGATCAAAATTTTCTGTATGCGACCCTTAATACCTGAATAGTGCGGATACAAATTGTCAGTGGACTGGAATAAGGGACTCTTTGCTGCAGCAAGCAAAAAAGGAAAAGGAAAATACATATACAGTAAATCTCAAAATAATGATAATAATTATAATAATAATTTTTTTATAGGAAATGTATCCAAACTGTATGTTTAGAAATACCTTCAGGGGTAATCCCACTCTGTAAACTGCAACAGAAACAGAGAGAAAAAAATATATATTACAATGTTCAGCTGTTCATAATTCATGGATATTAGGGGAGGCCAAAAGAAAGGCAGACTTACGAAGACCTACGACTCATGGATCTGGCCCAACTGTTCCATACTGAATGAGTGGGGCTCCACATATCCTGAGGGCCAATGCAAACATAATCAGACAAATCTCACAAACATATTGTACACTCAATATCTCATATGTCTTCAATATTTCCACAATTACCACAATATATTGCCCACTTTGCCACAGATTTACCTGATAGGAAAACACTTGCTTCTGCATCAAATCCACTGATTCGAAATCTGAAACAACATTGATCATTTCAATTATTAAATCTTTCAAACAAAACTAGTACCGTAAGCAACTTGCACATTTTATTAGGTCACTGTTCCTTTTCTCTTTATTTATATGCTGGGTTTATTACATATTACATTCAGACAGGCCAAATAGGACATTTATTATTCTCACATTCTCCATCTTGTCATTTGCCTTCTGGTGCCACTGTGCATTCAGGTTCAAAGGAATAAGGTATGCTTACAGTTTTATTAATTACTAATAGCACTGTTTATTTAAATAGCACTGTAGGTCCTTACTGAGCTGACTGAGGCTGGTTGAAGCTGACCAACATGTAGATTCTCCTCTCAATCTCCGGCGCCTTTTCCAGCAAGCATCAGACAAATGGGACTGTGTGGTTAGGTAGAGAGTCATAGAATAAAAAAGAAAACAATTAGCAGCGTTTCAATGTTTTGACCCATGTAATATTCAATAGGATTGTCTGAAGAACTTTACAGTATCTGGACTGCTCTCTTGTATCTTCACTGTCTTCCTGTTCTGGTTTTTGCCCCTGCTGTCTAAGACTTGACTGAAGTCAGAGGACTTGGACCACTCTGCAAAAGCAAAAACACATCTGTTAGAAAGTGTGGCTGCATGATAAGAAAAAACGAAGATTTAGTACACAAAAGTAGAGATATAGTTATTTTTGATTATATGCAGGGACAGACATGAAGAAATGAATGCTGCACATCTGAATAATACATGTTTTTATAAATGGCCAGTTATAATACTTTTTCAAACATGATTTTTTTAAATCATCAACTAAAAATCAACAAATAATTATGTTTTCTAACCCATGCATTACAAACTACAATAATACCTCTGCTCCTGCTGCAACATAGCGATGTGTTGTCCCTTAAACTCCTCCCATCAGACAAACTCTCTTTGTTCAATAGTTCGTTAAGAGAAGAAAATGATCCCCTCATTGGACTCAGGGGTGCGCCAGAGAAAAAAATGTTCTCCACACTGGATGACAGAGACCTGCAGTGGCCGTAGGGACGGTCTCTGGACAGACACGCCCACCTGTGGGATTTCACAGGTCTTCCCCATTGGCTGGAAGGTCTGGACAGAGAACTTGGTTGGCTGTCATCCTGAGAAAAGGCAGGATTTACCAAACCCTCAGAGATGTCTCGAGGGTCAGACAGAAGGACAGCGTTGCTAGAGGCTCTGGATACTATATTAGACAGTTGTTCCTGTGCCTTATCTTCCTCATGCTCTTCCTCTTCTTCCTCCTCTTCTTCTTCCTCCACTTCTTCCTCCTCTTCCATCGAAGTTTTCTGACTAGGATACAGGAATGGGTCACCTGTCAAGAGTTTATAATGTGGTGACTCCACACCTCTGGGAGAAAGAGGAGACCCGCAGCGGGACGGTCCACATGAGTGACAGGGTGTCTGATCCCTGAAACCACCGAGAGGAACTCCGCCTCCGTAAAAGTGAGAGAGGGAAGCATGGGAAGCAGGTCTAGAAACTCCAAGCCAATTATCACTGGGATAATCAACAGTAGCTGCCTGTGAATCCTGGTGGAAAAAACATTTGTTAAGCAAAATAGTTTACAC